GTCTGAGAGATGGCAACACTCTCCTTGAAGAGACCTTAAAAATGAAACTTGCCCCCAGCAACACCCTCAATTTGGGGGCAACTGAAGACCCTCACTCAGAGGGTGGAGCGAGTCCTGGAGACGACGACCAGATCTACCAAAAGCCCTGAACATTTGTTCCTGGCTATGTTGGCGGTGGTGACATGCGCCTCTGCACAGTATGGATTCCATCCTTCTCCAAGCCCGTAAGGGGGTCTGGATCCCGTATACTGTACCCTCAAACAAATGAATGCCCAAAACCTGCATCAGAGTGCTTATGGCAGCGGCTAATTTGAAAAAAAAGGGGGAGCTGTAGGAAACAGAACTCCACAACAACCAGTGGTGCATTTGTGCAGACTCCGAGATCTCTGAGAAAAACTCGAGATTGCAGGGTTAAAAATAACCCAAAGGATCAGAGTGAAATGCCCTTAGAACTGACCACACACGTTCCAAAGTACGCAGAAGATGTTTAGTAGATAGGAAGCCAGCTGTTTGTAAACAGCACACAGTGCACTCCCCTCTTTGTTAGCTTGTCCTGTAAATTGTTTCAAAGATTCTTACGAGCTTGACTACTCCTGTATACATGGAGGAATGTGCCTTAACTACGCCCCTGCTGTAAACCATTATAGATCTATATCGCTGTAGAAAGTATACAAGAGTATGGAAAATAAACCTCTGTGCCTCAGGCTGTTTGCTCAGGGTCCCTTGGGGAGAAAAAAAAAAAAGAAGAAGATATGGTCTTTTGCCTGCATGAGTTTAGAGTGGAGATAAATTTGAAAATCAAAGAATAACATCCTTTTGTATGTGCCATACAAAGATGCCTATATCAGATGAAGTGAGAGTCACACATACAGGGAATGATCAAAAGTGTTCCAGAGGCAGGTACACTTAAATCTTGAACGAAGGGTAGATGCCATGCAGAGGTTCAAAATGGAAAAAAAGTTTATAGACAGAGAACCTTGGACCGTGAGAGTTTCTCAAATGTTTGAGTCTCAGTACCTAGACCTAAGACTGACAGTGTGTCCTTTGCAGTGATGGTGATGATGAAATTTAGCAAGCCACTGAAACATCTTTTTAAAGAAATCTGATCATTCTCCATATGAATCATGAAACATTCATAATCCTTGGAAATATGCTGATCTGCATGTCTCTGTATATTCAGTGAAAATAGTAAATTTTAAATCAAATTTAAATACTGCTTCCTCAAGAATCATAATTGTATTTCCCTGACCTTGTAGCGTAAGGTTCAACTCCTCTGAGTGAGTAATTTCAGCGAGGCAGTAAAATTTAAGCATCCAATCTCAGGCTAAATGTTTGAGGTGCTTAATATCGTTCATGTCCAAAAAAATGACAATCTAATTCATATAGCTGGCAAAGTGAGACCTAACTTTGCCGCCTGATAACCATAATCATTGTCAACATGGCTATACATTATTAGATGGGAATATTTTCAATGTACTTGCTCAAGCACTGTCATAATGCAATAATTATTAAAGTTCTGGGCAAGACTCCTGCTGAAAATTAAATTGCCAATTCTGTTACGTCTCCAAATCCTGTTCCAAAAGATTGCACTTTCTGATATGCAAGCAACAGTTCAACCATGCATGGTTTGGCCACTTTAATAAGAAGAAAGCGTCTCTATTTTCTAATCAAATGAACTAAACCTACTTTCTGATCAAATATAGAAACCCAAATTATTCAAATGTTTGCATTCTTTTTATACAAAGTCAATCAAAATGTTAAGACTATCTTTACTCCTCGCTTGATTTTCTACTGGTAATTCTAAAAGTATTTAAACAGTAATACCACCAATAAACTATCTCAAATGTCTTTAATTGTCCCCTCTATTTGATGGGCTATTTCACATCTATGCCAAAAATTGCTTCTGCAATTACATTTTTAAAGATTCTGCCTTAGTGAGATTTGTATTTATTACCCCCTTCATATAGATAGATTAGAATAATTCCCTAAGTACACACACACACACACACACACACACACACACACACCTTTTATTAATACCTAATAGGGGGTTATTCTATACAAGCTCATTTTTTTATAATGGCTCTCATGAGGCTTTTTTTATAATGGCTCTCATGAGGCTTTTTTTATAATGGCTCTCATGAGGTCACCCTCTAAGTATTTCATGGCAAATGATACAAGTTTTGTCATGATGTCTCAAACTGTGAGTGTCTGCATTTGAGAACAGTTTGAAGTGTTCTTGGCTTGAGAATAGCCACTTAATACCAAAAGGAATAAGTCTGCCCCTATTGAAAATGCAGCCATACTATCTTTTCCCGTTACAGGTGAGCTTGAGATTTCTTGATTATCCAGGTAAAAATATGGGGAAAATCCAAATTAGCTTGTGTAATTTTACTTTTCATCATAAATTAATGCAAAGTGAATAGATTAACAGGTACTAAGAAGTCCACACCTCTGGTATAGGCATATCAACCAGATCTGTTTCCAACATTTTGGAATGTTGGAAATACCATCTTCATGAATATTGCAGCTATTAGTCTCAGTCAACATCAGTTTTCCCTTATCAGCTCTTCAGTGGCTGGTTTTCCTCAAGGGCTCTAGCTTACCTGCAGGCCAAATGTCTGCAATTCCATTTCATACTGCTTGAAAGCACTTACACTAAGCCTCAACAATAATCTATACAAAGACTAATGCTTTGCATCTTTTAACCAATTGTTTTATAATCACACATATATTATACTATGTGTGTGTATATGTATGTGTGTGTGTGTGTATATATATATATATACACACACACATATATATATATATCACAGTTTGCATATTCCTTTTCAAATGAAATAGTCCCACAACTTAAAAAAAAAAATCACTTTTCTTCAAGAATTCTCTTCTAAGCCTGGTCTTTTCCCCTTGATGTCTCTCTGTGTTCCCTTCACTCTGAGACACAAAAGTTTCATCATAGTACAAGGAAATGTATCATTAGGAGATTGTCAGATTAAGTAGACAAAATATTAGTCTCCCTTGAATGAGCTCATTGTCTGCCACTTACTCATTTAGGCCTCTTTTCATGCCAGGATGTCTATTTTGGAAGATGCACGCATTGGTGATAATTATAAGCATTGTTAAGAAACTAAAGGATTTTGGGTGCCTGGGTGGCTCAGTTGGTTAAGTGACTGCCTTTGGCTCAGGTCATGATCCTGGAGTCCCGGGATCGAGTCCCACATTGGGCTCCCTGCTCAGCAGGGAGTCTGCTTCTCCCTCTGACTCTCTTCCCTCTCGTGCTATCTCTCATTCTCTCTCTCTCAAATAAATAAATAAAATCTTTAAAAAAAAAAAAAAAGAAACTAAAGGATTTTATTAGGAAGCCCAGAGCCAGAGTCTCCCGAAGAATATGAGGGGAAAAAATGGGTTAAGAAATGAGGAAAGTAATCTCCATTTACTTCCCCAAATTAAGTCTCCTAAAATATAGGGAGACCAACAGACCATAAATGTGGGCCCTAAAGTAGGACTCCCTGAATATCTACCTCTAAGAGCTGTCCATGGCAGTGAAATGGGAGGGTGATGGTGTTTCTGATCTGGGTATTTGATATTTGTGGTTCTGTTATCAACCAGCCTTTCAGAGGGAAAAGTCAAACTATGGCTTTCTCTTTGATCAGCATCACTTTTATTTTATTTTATTATTTAATTTAAATTCAATTAGCCAACATACCATTTACATCGACATGGATGGAGGATGGAGAGTATTTTGCTGAGTACTGCTTTTATTTGACACAGCTTTTGACCCTCAAAGCCTTATGAAAGCAGGAAGGCAAAGCCTACCAAAATTGCTGATCCCAGTAAGAGAATTACAGGTTTGGACTTCACTTATATTTTGTATTCTAACACCCTTAATCCTACTACTCCACTCTTGACCTTTAGTGCATAAAAGTGTTATCAGAATTTCCTCTGTGTTATTACTAGAATCTGGACATTTGAATTCTAACTTTTAGGTCTCTACTTCAAATTCCAGGAGTTAAAACCACTGCTGCTCTTGAAGAATCTGGAGGAAAAGACGTAAAATAATCCTCTCATGTATAGACTTTTATCTCACAACACACTCACTAACCTACTGCCTGGCATGATTTTGGTTATATATTAACATTCACAAGAGACTAGGTACAGAGGTAGATACAGGCAAAGACACAGATGTATATAGTTACATTAATAAGAGATTTTGAGGATGAAGAGACACCAGGTGAGTGAGCATGAACACAGAAGACTGGGGCTTCAAAACCTAAGCCCAGATCCTAAACTTTCTCAGCTCTGAATGGCAGAAGAAACGTTGTGATGCAGTATAGAACTGCATGCCATTATTTCATCTTATTTCTTTCAAAAATGGTTTTGTTCCCCAATCTTGCCACCATCTCTTTTGGCCCTTGACATGACACTGGCTCTCATTCACCCCTCTAGCTTATCCGATGGGCATTCCCAGTACCTCCACCCCCAATCCAATCACCACCCTTTCTTTCCACCTAAATCACCGATCAGCTCCCCTACTGTTCTAAGATGACTGCTGTCTCTTTTCTGCACCCAGGGAGGACTTGTATGTTTTTGTTGCCAGATTTCAATGGCCCTGGTTTATAAAGTGCTGGACTTTAACAATCGGTGGTTCAAGAAGCTGTAAATATCCTAATGACTCAAATGAAAGAAACTTTATCACTTCCTAGTAGTTCACTAACCTCAAAGTTTCTAGTCAAACTTAAAAATTAGCAGTCTGAGACCTGGAACATCCATCTGGTGTCATCCTTTACATCTCTGAGACCCTAAACAACTAGGTCTCAGGGTCCTATCTGTAACAAGTTCCTATCTTGTCTAGCTCCCAGGGTCTTCACAAAAGTTAAAATGAACAACACTGATGCACACTGTCAATATACTTAAGTGATATGCAAACAGAAGGGAACATGCAAAACACCTGCTGGAAACTTCCTCCCTGGGAGATGGGAATGGGATGTTATCCTCACCTCTGGATTCATGGAACTCCAGTGTGACGTGGGCATCAAATCCAAGGCTGAAGTAATTATTGAAAACATTCAGAGGAAGCTGCAATGAGGAACAAAGTAGAGGTGAAGTGGTGCGTAACCAGGCAGAAAGAATAAAATGAAGCCTAACACCAAGACACCTTCTCTCAGGCAGTCCCTGGGAAAGAGATAAGTCACAGCCCGAGGCAGAAGGTGTTTGCTGAGAAGGAACAGGGGATTTTTGAATTCATTAGTGAAAGCTCAAATCAAATAACACTCCCAAGAATTTTAAGTAGTATAGGAAACAAGTGATGCAAATACAAATTATTAAATGGGAACTATTCTTGTGGATATTAATAAGAGAGCCCATTTTAGCTGAGGGAAGCACATGCCCAAAAGTTACAAAGAATGACTCACTAAGCAAACTTAGAAAGTCAATTCGAATGGAAGGATCATGTGTAAGCTAATCAGTGAATATACCTTTTGAGAATTTATGTCCAGCATATTAATATTGCAACTCCAAATGAATAATATTTAATATGTTTACCCTTCCATTTTTTAAAATATATTTTTGACGTAAGTCATAAGCAATAGGGCAGAGGGAAACATTTGGCTACCCCTGATCTACAAGGGAAAAAAATATATATGTGTATATACATATTTGTCAGTATTATTCAAATTTTGATTTAGTCTATCAGACCTTGTATCTTTAATATGACCATGAAATATGTAGACATAGATGCGGGTACACACACAAGCCTTCCTAGAGTCCTCTGGGTCCCTGGCTGTTACCACTGCAAGCTTAGTAAAGGAGAGGACTATGCAACCTAAAATCCTTCATCAGAACTGCAAAATTCATGTGCTTTTAAGGCTTCAATGTTAGAACAATGAGAAAAGCACATGGAAAATGCTAGAGAGGAAATTGTGGCTCTTCCATTTTCCCTTCTGCAACTCAGGTTGGAAGGTAAATATTAAACTAAATAGAGAAGCAATTTCATCTCAGCTTGGATAATGTTTCCAGATAATTATCAGGCTTAGCCTCCAGATAGAAATCTACTTCTCTTCTGTTAGAAGTACGTGTTTAACCCTCAAGATCTCAAAAGTAAGTTTATTACAGGGTTTCATATGCGCCTTGACTAGTAAGATTTTGTTTGACTAGAGTGAGGACCTCAACCCATTAAGAGAGAAATGAAATGAGAGGGAGAGTAACAGAGAGATGTTAATACAGAAGAAAAGAAAACGGATGGCCTTAGTTTCCAATGGAAATAAGGAATGAACCCTCCATGGAGGCCCTAAGTCAGAGCTTATCATGAATTCGGAGGTCAAATCAGCCCCCTTTAGAAATGTTTACAACTGACTGGAGAACAGGAGAGAAACTAAACACAGAACAATGCCAAAATCATGTCTCATTCTCCTGGTTTCATATTTGAGAATGTCCAGTTCCTGCACTTTAACAAAATACCAAGCCTTAGTAATGACAGCAAGGGTTGGTGATCTTGCCAAAAGCACAGATATGTTCATCCCTACCATTTATGTTTTCTTGGCTACAATTCTAACCCATGTCTTAGCATTCACTGATAGCTTTAGAACATTTGGTCACCATCCCCTAAATAATATCCCAATTTAGTCTGTTATTAAGTTCTTATTCATATTTTCCAGGAAAAATTGCCCAATTTCCTACATATCTCCTCAAAAATCCAATTTTTCAAAGCCCTTTAATTATCTGGATTAATGTTCCCTGGCTGTACCAAGGAGTCTTTCCATTTCTTAAGCTGTTGGGAAGAGATTTAAATAGAGATTTCTACTGAGCGCCTAAGCATTCTTTTTTTTTTTTTTTTTTTAAAGATTTTATTTATCCGACAGTGAAAGACACAGTGAGAGAGAGAACACAAGCAGGGGGAGTGGGAGAGGGAGAGGCAGGCTTCCCGCAGAGCGGGGAGCCCGATGCGGGGCTCGATCCCAGGACCCTGGGATCATGACCTGAGCCGAAGGCAGACGCTTAACGACTGAGCCACCCAGGCGCCCCGCGCCTAAGCATTCTAAGTTTGGTGGGGAAAGGACCTTAAAATTTCCATATGGTATAATTCTTTTCACTTTGACTATATCCTACCCAGTTTCTGTGGGTCGAACACATCAGAAAGAAGTATATCCCAAGATGATAACTGTGGTTTCAAACAACACTGTGACATTATAAATGCAAATCTACTGAGCAGTCACGATACCTAACAGAAACCTTGTGATTTCTGGATTATTGTTTAGGGGAAAAAATGTGAAGACAAGATAAAACATGTTTTAATCTATTTTAGCCAAATAATAAACTTGAGTGTTTATCATAATCGGTCAGGATCATGCTGCTAATGAATAACTGGTTTTGGTTTGGTTTAGAAGGATATCTGGTTCAATTTATTTTAAAGTGAAAACGCCCATGACAATGTTGGCTCACTCAATGGCATAATCCAATAAAGCAGGGATGCCATTTATTTTATTATTATTTTTAAAAGATTTTTTTTAAAGATTTTATTTATCTGTCAGAGAGAGACAGAGCACAAGTAGGGGGAGAGGCAGAGGCAGAGGGAGAAGCAGGCTCCCCGCTAAGCAAGGAGCCTGATGTGGGACTCGGTCCCAGGACCCTGGGACCACGACCTGAGCCGAAGGCAGCCGCTTAACCGACTGAGCCACCCAGGTGTCCCTTTTAAAATCTTTTAAAAGATTTTATTTATTTATTTGACACAGAGAGAGAAAGACACAGCGAGAGAGGGAACACAAGCAGGGGCAGAGGGAGAGGGAGAAGCAGGCTTCCGGCAGAGTAGGGAGCCCGATGTGGGGCTCAATCTCAGGACCCTGGGATCATGTCCCAAGCCAAAAGCAGACGCTCAACAACTGAGCCACCCAGGCGCCCCAGGATGCCATTTAAGGTACAGATCCAGGGCCTTAACCCTGCATTTACTTGATCAGAATCAATGGGGACTGGGCCCCATAATCTGCACATGAATGTTCTTATGCATGCAAAACTTTGAAAACACTATCACAGAAGAAAAATGGAAAGTAATATGCAGGAAATGGCTACTTGGCAACGTGTCAGATTTATCTGAAATTGAGATCAGAACTTAGAACCAAATGTTCTGCTGAGACTCTGCACTAATGTATGTATAATTGGTCTCTTGATTTGTCTTGGGTGGAAATGAAAGCTCAATCACTGAAGGAAAAATACTAAGTCAAAATATTTATTTAGGCATCTTCAAGTCCCAACCCAGTGATGAAACTGACTTAGTTAAGTGTCACTTCCTACACATAAGAGATATTTAGTAGGAGACTACAAATCTCAGGAGGTTATCTTTCCATTGAAAGACCATATGCCTAATGCTTCAGAACATTCGTATTTTTCACCTTCTCATGGGTTATGAGTTTGCAGTGCTTGAAAGATTAGAAAATGAATACGTTCTTTCTGGTGTGGAAGTTGAGGATGAAGAACAGCTCCCTGAGCTCTGGAAGCAGGTAGGAAGTCTGTGGGGCAGAATCACGGAGTAGTGTTACACTTGTAGGCCTAGTAGCCATAAACTCAAACATCATTCTGTGATCTCATAGGAAGCAGTCAGCATATGATTCTCCAGCCAGGAGTGTATTTCCTGTGGCTCAGGTACATGCTCCAGGCTTCCCTTCTGTGGAAGAAAGAACTCTCTCACCTTACAGACGCCATCTTCAAGTTCTTCTGGAGGCAAGTCTGGGTTTCTTTCCACATGGAGGTTCCAGCGATCTAGCTGTACAATTGTCCCATCTTCCACTTGGCAAAGGATCTTAGAGACGGGTTCATCAGTGTAGCCCTAAGGAATCAAAGAATATATGCATTGCTGCCTGGAGCAGTGAACAGATTAACCAAAGGCATTTCATGCAAGCAAGAGCCCTTTTGCTATAGCTCTCTATTCATTTTGCAATTAGCAAGGCTGGGCAAGTAGACCGGTTTCCTTGCAGTACTTGGAATCTAAGACAACAGTCCCAGGTATTGTGCATAGAAATACTGCTCTAACTGGTTTGAGGTGAGGAGTAATTTTCACCAGCACCAAGAACCAACAGTCACTGGTAGGCATTTGAGGGCCATGCTGGAGGGTCGCTTCTGTCAAAATGAAAACAGGACTCCCCAGGCCTCCTACTAGAGGAATCTGACAGATACAGAGAACAAGTGTATATGGAAGAGGAGGAAAAGAATCATGGTGGCAGAGGATAGACAACTTTTTCTATTAACCTTCCACCTCATTCACCTCTCCTAACCTTGTAGAGGGACACTGCTAAGGCAAGTCTGTCTGAGGCACTGCCCTATTAGGCAACCACTTACTCCTTAAGCATGTGTTATTGGCAGCATGATTATTAAGGATAGTCAAGTCACTGATGTGGAGGAGAAGAGTTAACAGTGATAAACATATTCACATGAAGCAACTAATGTATTATCATTTCTACTATGCCCACTTGAAAAAATAAAAAAGACCTGTAGGAGGTTAATTCACCCAATACCGAATGAATATCTGCTAATATCCGAAGATAATTATCACCCAAGGGAGGTTAATTCACACAAAGGTCAAATTAATATCTGCTAATAGCTGAAGATAATTTTCATGGAGCCCAGCCCAATCTCTCCTATGAATAGATAAAAAGCTGGTGGGGCCGCATATGTAGGCAAATTGTGCCTTCTTACTATCTTAACACTGTAAGAAAAAATTAATAAAATGGCTGGTTAGTGACAGGTAAACTTCTTTCACTAAGCTTGCCTAAAGTTGGCTCTCTGGTGGAAAGGATAGCTGGCTACCTGTATAACAAAGCCATGATGACACCAACCAGAAAAACAAAATGCTCCAGAAAAGCCATAACTCCCCCAAAGTAAGGATTATGATCTGAACCAGATTTGCTATTCTGACCAGGGGCTAAGGGTCAAGATCAATCAGGTCTTTACATGAAGACTTGAGGCCAACCCACCCAACTGCCTCTCAATGGATACCTCAAGAAGCCCCAGGCCTATATACTAACCCCCATTTTTACACCACACTTTCTTCTCTAGATGATTCTAAGTTTAAACTGAAAAAGATCCCAGATGAAATCGTGATGCGTGGGCACCCTGATCCTCAATTCTAACTTATTCTTTGGACAACAGTAGCATATTGCCCTTCCATTAGAACATCTGTGGGTTCACGGCTCCTTCTGCCTGACGGTCCAGGCAGCCCCTGAGAGCAGTTCTTACCCCTCCCCAGTTGAGAGTTCGAGCCAGGTCATTCCCAGTCCCCAGAGGAAGGACCCCGACGGGAGGCTGAGGGCTCAGCTGCAGTTCATCCAGAATAGAAAGGATCCAGCCCACCTACAGACATTTCGGGGGCCAGAAGAGACACAAGAAAGATAGATAAGTGACAAAGACAACCTGAGAGAAGAAAGCTTTAAACAGCAAATGAAATGGTTTGATTTTTCTTTAAAACATATATGTTTTAATCTCATGGCCAGGAAACAGACCACTTATCTGAAGCAGTTGCAAAATGGCAAGTCTCTTGTAGGGAGAAGGACCGTTTTGCGTCTGCAGTCATGTAAGCAAAACTAGACCCACTCATCTGTATGTTTAACTTGAGATCTACCTTAAAATTTAGAACAGTTTACAATTTTTAGGGAGGTTTATAACATAGGCACTGGAGACAATACAAGACTCAGAATCAGACTGAATTTCAATTCTGGCTCAGATTGGCTACATAATCTTATTTAACCTCACCGAGATTTATTTACCTGATTTTCAAAATGGAGATAATGCCTACCTCACAAGATTGTTTACAGATTAAATTAAAATGTATATAAAGCCCTTGATATAGTCCCTGTAAGCATTCATTAAATGGTTACCCTCCAAAGCATCATCATAGAAATTAGTAGCATTTTCCTAAATATCCCTATATTCTTCTTAATGAAACATTAAGAAAACATAATTATGGATGGTCCTAGTACTTATTATAAGTTGAGGCAGAAAATAGATACTTATATACTAGAATCATATTCCCACTCAATCTTTTTCTAAGATAAATAATACTTTAGGTTTGGTCTTGTGACTATTTAGAATTTTCACCCCAAACTTGGAAATAGCAAAAAGAAACTTGCATATCCTCACAATGTCATACTAAAGTAGTGTTTCACAGGCCTAAGAACTTTATGACTGCAGGTTAACAGGAAGATTTCTGTCCTGTGGAGATACAAGTGTCGACAATAGAAGATTATGTTAAAGGTTTGGTTTTATTCCCCCATAAGGCGATAAACCAATTATGTCTCAAATATAGAAAAATTATTTTGGTATAAACTACATAATCCTTTTCCTCTATTTCTCCAATAAATCAACTTTATCCTCTTGCTGGTTCCTTCATTAAATAGCTAAATAAATTTGACATGCATTTATTTATTCTATATTTGTATGAGTCCTATTTAAAATCTTTTTTTAAACTGTACTTTAACAGTACATTTATTGAACACTACTACATATAAAACACAGAACTAAGCAACTGAAATAAGATGAATGAGCTGGGCTAAGATAAGTAAGGTAGATGGCTGCTTTCAAGGAGCTTATAATGAACAAAGAGAGGGATATACCATTGCTTTCTAGGTGCTGATCCCTGAGCAAAGTTCTGTAATTATATTATTAAGGTTCAAAACAATTCTGTAAGGTAGGAATAATTCTCCTCTCCATTTTATCAGTAAGGAAGGCAAAACTTGGAAGATTCAATGACCTCCTTAATATCCTATCATTTATGCAGTACAGCCGGCATTCAAAGTCACGGATGCCAAACACCAAGGCTAACCTCTTAGCCACTCTGGTGCAGGGAGCCTTTAAATAAAGACCTAAATCCCATTCTGGATATTGCCTGATCATGCTGGAGACAGCGGTATGTACTTTTGGAATCTTTGGAATGCTGGAGAAACCTTAGAAATTGCTCAATCAAATTCAGTTAATTTGCATATTTATTAACTTAGGTGCAAAGAGGTCATGAAATTTTCTCAAGACTAAATAACGAGGAGTGTCAGTATCAGAATCATATCGGGTCTCTTGATTCCATTTAAAGATTCCATCGTTTCTCCACCACAATATTTCTTCCCAGGATGTAAAACTTGCCCATGCATCAAGAAGCCTAAAATTGCATTTACCTTCTAGAAAGGCATACCACCATGGTCACCCAATACGATGAACTAAAACTCCAGATCTAAAGAAGTATCCAGAAGTCCCTCTACCCCCTCAAACTGGACAAGTCACTCCTAGATGACTCCTTAGATTCTGACCCCACATGTTCTTAGTTTTTACAGATGGTATTAACAAGTCTTGCTGTTGAAGTGTAGGTCAGATGCTAAAGAGTTCTGATGCCTTTGTTAGCCCTGTGCTGCTAAAAACACAAACTGCACACAGAAGTAGATCCCCTCTAATAAACTACGACAAGACATGAAAACTCAGCAACCCCAGCAATCAGGGATCACCGACTACAGATGCAAACAGCCCTGCATAGACCCAGAGACTCTCAGAGACACAATGGAACTCAGTGGAAATGGAATCCAACATCTCCTATAAAGAAGGTAGTCTCTTTAGAACTCCTCCAAGAGATGAACCCTCAGTCTCCCCCTTACGAATTGTACTCACAAGTCAGTCTACTTTCTTTCAGGTGGATTTAAATTCGAAAATTTTTTCTTATGCTCAGGTGAAACAGGTCTCTCTTTTCCTGGTAAAGATAATGCCATGTGTTCACATTTCCAATACCCACTGCACTCTAGGCACAATGATAGGAAAAATAAATCTTCAGGGACCAGAAGCAAACCAAACACAAAATGGCAAGCCGATAAAGCCAGGAGTTCAGCTTCTGTCTGATAATAGGGAGTAAAAGGTCACACCTCCCGGCAGGAGGCCATGTATGAATGAGGCTCCCTGTTGTCCAGTAGGAGAGAAGCTGGAAAAGAGCGTGAAGGAGCCCTGCCCAAGGCCATAGCCCAAAGACAGTGGAGAGCCGTTGAAGCTGGAAGGAGGAAGCCTCTTGGTGGGCCCACCTTCCCACTGGCTCACTGACAGACCTCCAACATGGGACATATCCCCAGGATGGGTGCCTGAGTCACCTAGAGAAAACCCACTCAAGTCACAGAGTCCTGGAAACCATGCAAACGATGAGGAAGGAATAATAAAAGGAGGGAGACAAAGTAAAGGCAAAGACAAAACACAACAGAATAACTTCCTCCAAAGAGAAGCCTGCAAAGAAAACTTCCAGATTGCAGGAAGAACGCTAATACCAAGGTGGATGGGAAGGTTAGGGGATTAGTCCACAGTGCAGGAAATACAAATACGTTTCAAATGACTGAAATGAGTGTCCTGTAACTCCCATGAATTGATGAGGTATCTTCCAATAATCCTTTAATCAGTATAATAGCCTTCATTCAAACTTTCTGAAGGGGTTCCTGTTTTCTCAAAGAAAGTGACCAAGAATCCATGTGATCCTGTGCCATGGGAGGCAGGAGCCTCAGGACACCTGGACTTCTCACCCTCTCTCTTTCTCTCACACTTGGCCTAAGCAGAAAAGGAAAATGTATAACTGATTTGAATGAAAGGACCTTCCCCTTTCTTAGCAATTGATTTAAGAACCACATAAATATATTCTACCTTCTTTTTCCAATGGCCAAATATACCATTTTTCCCTGAATACAATCAGGTAGGTTTAGTATTCCATCATCACATAACCCTGGAGTCATCAGATGTCACCTGCCTTTCATAGCCAAGATGTGTCGTGAAATTCTCTCAAATGCCATCAGTGTTAAACTAATAATAGTTCTTTGGCAGAGGTGGGTCTGTTTCTTTGAACCATCCTTAAGAGTTTTTCTCATCCAAGAGATATATGACTCAACACCAGCTTCCTCCAAAGGCAACAGAAGGTAGGGCTGAAGAGGGAAACAGAGCCCATCACACACTGGCTGGGCAAATTTAAGTAAGCCACTCAATCTCTCCAAGTTCCTAAGACTCTTAGGGTTATGTTATCAGTTAAATGACATGTAGACATGACAGCATATGCCTTACAACAGGAAATGCTTAATTAACATTAGCTGCTATGATTAAGGTTTATTTTTCTTCCTCTTCACTTCCTCTATGAAGGTCCAGTTTCCAAGTAGCAAAATGCCCTCTTCCTGCCTCTCCACTTAAAGCTGAACCTCAGGGTCACAAATCAATGCCACCTTTGACTGCCATCAATCACAAAGTCTTCAGAGACTATCCAAAACAGAAAAGCCAAGCTCTACTGAAGCAGAAAAGCACTACAAAGAGAAAGAGAAAGAAAGAGAGAGGGGGGGAGAGAGAGAGAGAGAGAGAGAGAGAATGTAAACAAATACATCTACAATAGCAGGAGACATAAAAGATCTTGAGTAATAACCTCTATCTGTCCTTATAAAAGCAAAACTATATAAAAGATCTTCAGGCCCAAGACTGTTACCGGGGCCTCTCCCTTACCAGAAACCTGTTCCTTCGGGAAGCCTGGGCTTCAGGTTCGTGGCAGGGATTGTGTTTGCTGGGCTTTCGCATTTACCCAATTCATCTCCACCAGCTCATCCAGCACTCCTTCAGTTAAATGTAATTAATTGCAAAACACAGCACTTGGCATTTTTTCCACCAAAACTGAAGAAAACGATCTAGACTGGGTGAAATCATTTCCCAGTTTGCAACGTTTCTTCCTGCCTTTGTGTTAGAAAGAGCAGGCCTGCCAGATCTGTAAGGCCGAGCCAAGCAGCCTGGCCGGTGAGTGCTGCCCACAGCTGGTGAGTGCTGCCACCACCTGTCCACCTGTCTGTGGGGCACCCTAGCCATCACCCAATGTTTGCCCGTTACGTGCTGAGCAGTATTTTCATTCTGCAATGTACTAACATTAGAGGTGGCTGAGGGGTGGGAAAAGCAGTGAATTGACACTTTCTTTGAACAGACCAGGTATACGTTGCATCGCCTTATATGCTGGCAAAAAGTGAAGGATGGGCATATTGAGAAATCAAAAGGAAACAAGGCTAACATTTCCGAACTGAAAGATCATCAAGATAGCATTTAATGCCTGGGTGTCCCTTTTGAATGTGTACACTACGATTCTTCCTTTTGATACTTTAATTTATGTTTGTACTTCATAGCTTACAAGTCGCATGTGTTAAAAGAAATGTTTAAAGTCAGCCCTAAAGAAATCAAGATAGAAGGTGAGGGAGATGGGGGGTGGGTAGAGAGATTGAGATAAGCTGAGGCTTTGGGAGGAAAGGGGCTTGGAATGATGTGCTTGCCACTGTCAGTTAAAGGGAAATACCACTTTCTTCCCTGTGGTGGCTGTAGTAAGTCAGGGCACAGAGATGCCTACTGTTTAGGGTGTATCCTCACCTAGGGAGGCCAAGTGATCAAGAAATAAGCATGAAGTGGATGGCCAAGTAGTTTAATTCCAGGCCTTCGGATAGACATTAACATGGTCAAAGGAGGACCAGCAGATCCAGCCCAGTTAGCAAGGTCAGGAGCCAGATAGGTCGGGATCACATTACACCTTGAGAAGCCATCAGGAGGGGAGGGTTGCCTCTGGGGTCTTGGTTCACATACCCTTCAATACTTAAGCAGAGGGATGGCTATGGGGAGCCGGACAGGTAGCAATGTGGCCACGGAAGGGAAAGCGTATACAATCGCCACATGGCCAAAAAGCAACTAGTTTATAAACATGAAGGTCTGAGACCATTCTTGAGTTAGGGGAGTTTTCTTTCCGCCTAGAGATCAAAGGTGAGACAAGCCCATCCAATAGCCGCTATGTGACCACCTTAGGACTGTGCTAACCAGTTCCAAAGAGACCACACCTGCACTGTCCGCTGAAGCATCCACTGGCCACAGGCAGCGATTGAGCGCTGGAATGTGTCTAATATAAACTGGAGATGATGGAAGTAGAAATATATGCCGGATTTTGAAGACAGCACACATTGAACACAAACTATCTCATGAGTGATTTTTCTATGATTGCATGTTGAAATGGCAAATGTATCCCTTTGCAGACTTAGAAGGTCTCAAAGGAGGGTTAGAAATCTGCTGAAAGTCACAGAAACACAGGCACCCAACCAGCTCCAGGTGCAGTGCTGGGAGATGGGTTATTTAAAAGTGCAAGGAGGCAGAGCGACACAGAACTAGCAGCGAGGCCAAAGAACTTGTTTCCAAATTAATGCGAGATATCTACACATGAAATAATACTTTGTGCACAAACTAATGCCATTAAGGGTTAATATATCCTCCTCCTAATCAGTCAAAAAAAAAAAAATTCCATTCCTGATTCTCCCTGGGACCTTGTCACTATACTGACAGAATTCTGACAGCTTCTACGGTGATGGATATGCTCCCCGGGTAAAGGCTGAATGCCTTATGTCAAATGTATAGCTGACACTCTCAGGAATTATTCTTCACTTGCCTCAAGCCAGCAAGCCTTCTTCATAAATCCATCAGGAGGCCTCGCCTTTATAGAAACTCTGTTCCTACTCAAAATTAAAAGTTTCATATTCTAAACTAATCAGATTAAAAATATCAATCACTTACCTAGAGAAACATTTCATCAACTCCAGGCCTCCTTCACAACACATCCATTTTAACCAAGTAAAGTAAAATAAAATAAAACCTGGTTTCATATAAGGTACAAGATAAGCCAAGCCAAGTCTTGGTTCTGAGTGATTAAACTACAGAGGTTACCATTGAGAAAATAATTAGTACAGAAGTATGCACCAACCCTCGGGTATATCTACTACTTTCCTTAGGAGCATGCCTGTTGCAAGGGACCTGAGTATACATGTCAAGTGCATTTGTAAATTATGTGGAAGGATGTGAAAACCAAGCCAGGAACATAGATACAGTCCCTAGGAGGAAAAACTACCTAGAACATAAAAGAAGAGTAGTATCTAGCCTTGCTGAGTACCTATTAATTATGGTATACTTAAAGAAAGGAGGCTAGAAAAGACAGGCCAAGTAGGAGAACTAGGTAGTCTTCATGTCAAAAAGGTGTTATTAATGGTACCAGGGCATATTCACAGATATCCAACACTGTAATTGGGTCTGGTCTTTAGGATTCCTTAGCCATCTACCAAGTCTCACTTGCTTGTCATTCTGGTTTTGTCCCAGACACGCTACTGAGATGGTTTTCTTTAAAAACCACTAGTTATCTCCTCGTCTCCAAAATCAACGATAATTCTCCAGTCTCTCCTTCAGGATATAACCACTGCCTCTTTCTTGAAACTCCTTTGTATTTTGTTTTGGTTTTTTTTCTTGACAGAAGAGACTACAAGGGGTCCTTTCTACCTCGATCTTTTCATTTTCCTTGGGAACTTTGGCCCGGATTCCCTAATTGCAGCTGTGTCACAAGTGTCTGGACTCGGTTCTCTTCTCTTTGTCCTTCAGGCTTTAAAACCCCAGGTTTTCAAATACTTCTCTAGTTGCAGAGAATGCCTCAAAACCACATAACCTAGAACGTGCTTTCTACACATTCCCAGTGAGTAAAGTAAAGGAAAAAGAAACGAGAAGCGAGAGGCAGCTGCCAGGAGGCTCCGGGAGGATGCAAGAAATTTGGAAGGGGTGGCACTCAGTCAATGGTGAAGCGCAAGATGTAGGGATGGAATGGGAAGTGGACGTGGGTTTGAGGCCACGGTCACTTCGGTTGAGCCATGAAGAAAGGCTAAGAACCATGAATTCAGGACAACAGGCATAGCCTCAACTTCTCTGCTATCACTGTGATTGAGAGAAGGAGAAAAGATGGGAGCAAATGCTGAAGTCATATAGAAAGATAAGGAGATTCTAAAATCAGGAAAAGAACTGTAGTAAAGGGTCACAATAAGTTTATATTTTAAGATAACTAACCTGGGGACAGCTGAGCGAAGAACACTGTGTGTGTGTATATGTACGTTACACATAATAAATATACTAATATACATTTAATATACTTACATATACAAATATATATATATACACACATATATACATACACACACATACATGCACACATACTATTTACTAAATACAAATATATCCCCGGAGGAGGATTTGTTTTGATATAATTCTACTAAAAAAGTTGGGAAAATTCCAAACCAGCCTATCCCTTAGTATATCTCCCTAGAACACTACAATTGATTGAACTTTAATTGGTATTGTGGCAGAAAATATTCCATGGTCAAATAGTTTTGGAAAACACTGGGTTAAATAAAGTGAAACAGGTTTGGCTTCTCAGCTGTAAAATTTTATAATTAATTTTATAAGCTAATAATGTGCATTGTGAATCTTGACAAAGGTAAACACTATTTTCCCAACTGAAAAATGTTTTCATCTTCAGGGAGTAACTTAAGGGACCAGTGGAAACTCTGTTCTGTTTTTTTCCAGTTGCATTTATTGGTATATAATGTGTATCCAATGCTGCATTAAGTGCTATGAGAGGTAGTTAAAAGATTTTGTTGCTACCTTCAAGAATAAAACATTCTAATTAGGGAGATTAGAGAAAAGCCAAAGATGATTCATAATAAAAATTCTAGGTCTTAGAGAGCACACTCCAAATACAGAAGAAAAAGACACTGGGCAGCAGAGTCTAAATGTCATGGCTCTCACCAATTCTTTGCCTTTGCTAAATATACCAACATAAGTAGAGGGCAAATGGGGAAACAGATGAGACAAGTAGAGGAAAATGTACCCATCATATTAAACTTCAGCACAATTCCATCTTTTCTTCAAAAATGAATGCAAAGGAAACCAATCAATGATCTTTAAGGTAAACCCCTGCCAGTATTCTAAGTTTTATCTCCACTCATAAAAGAATAAATGCAGTAATTTTGTCCATATACTTCCCCTTAGTGACTGTAACCAATTATTAAGAACCAAAGGAAATAAGTTATTATTTAAGTTAAGAACTTAGTCATCTATAACCTTCATTCTAATGATCTGACCCCCTTCTTACCTTGTAGAACAGGAAGGGATACAGTATGGCTGAGGGAATAGAACATAATTTAAGAATCCATGAGACAATAACAACATCTCTTCTAAGGCTTTGTGGGCTATGATTCTCATGACAGAGACCTAGGTCTTAGGGGACTGGAAAGAGGTGAGGTGGGAATGAATAAAGAGAACTGTCATATGGAGAGCAAAAGAAAGATGGAAGAAATAAGGGAGAGAGCTTGATTCTATCTCGAGGACCTACCGTTCCATCCCCACCACAGGCCAGAATTCGCAGATTTGGTACTTTCCTATACAGCTCAAGCCTGTAGAGGAAAAAGAACATGAAGTAAACAAAAGAGCTCATCACTGGCCATCGCAGAGAGAAAACATGAGCAAAAGAGGCGAGGGGATGTCCACTGGAGAAAATGTATAATCATGAGGATAATGATGTCATCAAAACTAGTTACCAAGTTATCACAAGGGGATGGACCCCAACAACTGGATCAGAGGTTGGCAGGAAAAATCATTTTTAAATGGCCGGCATTGGAATGGGATGTCAGGATGTCCCAGAGTTTTATTTCCCATAATCCCTATTAATGCATCAACTCACATAGTTTTCCTAATTAATTTAGACTTCCCTTTCTTTTCCCATCATACTCCTTCTTCCTTTCTCAAAGAAAATCCTCATTAACTGGTAGTCAGTAGTCATTATATGTCTCCTCCTTATTTTTTGTCAGCTTTTCCTGGATTTGCTTTTCAAACTTATACTTTCCACTCTTAATCCCAGTAAACCTTTTCCAAGAGACAGGGTGGCGGGAGGATGCCCAGCATTACCACACACTTACAATTCTAGTTCTCTTTCCACTCATTCACTAACACTGGAACCAAATTTATACTCCTCAGCCCAAAGAGCGAAGATTTACTGATTTTTCTTTATTTAAAATTTGTCTGCTTAAAATTAGATCATTTTTCATGTTGTCTTTTGAGAAAACACAACTATAGCACCCCTGCTAGAACATTTCCTTAAGTGAAACTGTCAATGCCTCTGTTCGCAAAAACATCATCTTCCAAATCAAGCATTTTTTTTCTGGAAACATCTCCTATCTGGCCACATTCTTTAGGATGACCTATGAAGGCTTTGCCTAAAGCTTAACCAAAGTGGTAAGATTTTAAGGAAAGCATCTAAGAGGGCAAAAGCCAGGGTAGCAGATTTGCCTTAGTCCAACCGAATACAGAGAAAAAAAATACAGAAGTTTTATAGCGAACTCTAGTGGTGAAGAAGTTCATAGATTAAAAGAATGATGGCAGAAATGAATTTTTATATTTAATGTTCTCCTGAATGCTTCAAATATATGATTTATTAATTCCATACAGGAATATTATTTCTCTAGAAATTATCTGAGCTGGTTACTTTGCCTTTGATATTGTTACTTATTTAAAAATAATTAGTATCCCTTAAGTTCTGCTTATCCAATGACATCCGAACTATGTTAATACATGGGTTTTAAAAAGGGAATCCAACAGTAGCAGAAACAGTCCTGCTCCTTCCCACCACATACAGGACCACCGCCACCAAAGGGAAGATACAGGATACATGTCACCTACGTCTAAACTTTATTTTCAGCACTTCTAACAAAAACAGAATGAAACTTCTGAGAACTTCAGAAAAAGGGATTGAGCAGGACTTAAAATGTCTTCCCATTCTGGTGTGGAATCTATAGACATAATCAATTAATCTGTCTCAAATGGACACAGGTGCACACACAAACCTCTTATTCAAATACACAAACACATTCATAAACAAATATGGCCACTCTCCAAAGATACACTTAACATTCTCACTAATGTACATCTCCCAAGTTGTACATGCATAAGTAGAAAAAGGACAAATCCTTTCTCAGTGCAGACTTGTAAATAATCTACAGTTGCATGCACATGAGCAGCAAACACACAAGAAGTATGCCCTAAGTTAACAACTGTGTAGCTAGTTTGGAAGGGAATTAGCCCAAAGAAGAGTCGGAGGAGAAACATCAGATGAAGGTTTAAGGGAGGTGACTACAGTTGAGAAAGTCAATGAGGGATGGTCAGAAAATATTTCACAAGGTAATCTAATAATGAAGCTTGACTTCACAGCAGAAGTCTTTCTTGCTTGCCTAAACCAGTGTGGACCACAGGGGGTTATTTGCAGACTTACGCATCTTTGGGCCCTTCCTGAGAAAGATCAAACACCTGCCGTGGATTCAGGTACCACATGAACATCTGCAGGACTTTGGTTCCCTGTAAGAAAAAAAAAAATTAAAAAAGACAATAGAGATTTCCAAATATTTGCTGCTCGTTGAAAAAATAAAAAGAAATCCTCTTATCTAAAATATCACCTAATTATAAATAGCATGAAGTAGTAGTTAAAATCATGGGCTTTGGCCGCTGATATACAGGTTGAATGTCCAGAGGAGGCCTTTGTCCAACCTGCGTAACTCTGGCCAAGTTCTCCAATTTCAGTAAGCCCAACCTCCTTCTCTTTAATGTGGAGATAAGAATGCCTCATTCACAGACTTGTTGCAAGAATTGTATGCAATCATGTTTGAGGAGCACGTCACAGTGCTTGGCATGCAATTAAGTGCTTACTGAACAGTATCTACAGGTTTTACAGTCACTCAACATAAAAACCCATGTAGGGAAGTTATTAGTCAGTCCATGTCATTTAACATTAATTTTAACTTCACTGTGAAGATTACTTTTATCTTTGCATAATAGGTATGTACTAAGTGTGATTTTACTGAAATAATTTCTCTTAACTGAAGCAAAAGTCTCACAGGCTCCTCATTATTTAGGATAGATACATGTAACTTTCCTAGTTACAGTGTACTTTGACTTTGTTTCAATTTCCATGTCTCTAAGTCAAACAGTTCTCACATGAACATTTTTGGAATGTTTTAAGTAATTTATAACTGGCATTTGTAGAACTGATCATCATGGAAAACACAAGGCAGTTCTGGAGATCATTTCTTTTCTTTTCTTTTATTTATTTATTTGTCAGAGAGAGAGCATGCCAGGCAGAGGAAGAAGCAGGCTCCCTGTTGAGCGAGGAGCCCGATGCGGGACTCGATCCCAGGACCCCTGGATCATGACCAGAGCCGAGGCAGGCAGACGCGTAGCCAACGGAGCCACCCAGGCGCCCCTGGAGATCATTTCTTAACAGTGAACTGAGCAAAGAAGAAATGAAAGAAGGATCATTTCATTAAGCAGCATCAAAAGAGCTTTAAAACTGCGTAGGGTGCCCCATTTTAGGTCATTATCAGCCACAGCAAATGACGTTTGATCAGTTGGGCAGTGCTTATAGCTTATATTAATAGTTCCCTTATTAGCTATCCTGAGTGCTCTTCCTTAAAATATTCCTAAGTTTGTACACCTACTATGCTGTATCTGAGAGTCATCCCAGGACAGCAGAAATAGCCTGGTATTTGAGTCAGTAATAACGTGGGTGTTCTCATTAGGTGATCGTGAGCATTTATAATCCTGCAGAAATCCAGCATATTAAATAGGAGGGCAACATCTATGTTCCAGGGGCATAATGAGAATTAAATGAATCAGTAACAGTTATGGATCTAACACAGTATGTGGCGCAAAATAGGCCTTTGTAAAGGTTAGTCCCTTTCTTTGTTGCTCCTTGTTAATCTATTCAGTAAATTGCACTTGAGGGCGTGAGGGCTAAAGTGTAGCTTGTAATTATCACATTGTTATGCCAGTTGTTACAGGGCCCAATGCAGGTCTTTTTTTCCACATTTCATCCAAACCTGTAATTTAAAAGTTCTGCTTTATCATGTGCTTGCTATAAATTTAGGAATAACAGTCTATCCTTAATTATTACAACTAATCCTTCAATTTCACAAAATGACATATTTTGCTTCCTATAAAATTCAGACATAGATTTGGATACATAATACTAACTAAATACTGGATCATTCTCTTCCCATACTGTGCCTTGCTATCAAGTCAGTTGCGGGTTATGTCAAGTAATCTTTGATGCATAATTGGTAACACCAGAGTCATTTTAATGACCGATTTATAAAAAAATTTCCCACTGACTTGCTCGAAAATTAATTTTTCAGTTTTAAATTCCTAGAGCAATATGAATGGTTAATGTTCATTACTCCTTTCCATTTCTGGCCACAGCTGAATGCTCGTCTCAATTTCAGCTTCTACGATGCCTATGATACCAGGGAACGGACACCTTTCAAAAAATAAAAGGCATTTACAGGTGGTTTTTCCTAAACTAAAATTTCTCCAAAAGGTTTGAGTGACCACACCATTTTGGTTTTGCTCCTTTTAAGTGTGTGTTCATGGTGATGCCCAATCATCTACATTTTTCCTTTGGAGGAAGGGGAATTCAGGTTGGCAAGTTCTAAGTTGCACCATCTCCAGGAGGCCCCATCGGCACCGCAGCCTATTGGAAGAATGCCCTCGGAGCTGTGCAGGGGTAACGCGCAAAACCATACACGTCAGAATGTAATCAGAGGTTACATTCAGGTGTGAGAGAATTATTTCTTTTATAATGAGTCTTTCTAAAATATATGCATTAGCAAGACCGGCAAGGGTCCCTGAAAAGTACTGCATTGTTTTAAATCCATCATGGCGGGTGGAGAAAAAAAAGGTGGTCCAACACATTGAAGTCAGTTCTCTTACGTCTGCTGTGACCTTTAGGATGAGCTACTTTAAGGCTTAGGTAATTCATTCAATAGAATTGAATGGCTTGAGAAATGCCAATTCACCAGGAAAAGAGTCATTTCTTTCTCACTGACAGGAGGAAACCAACTCAGACAGGGGCACCTGGGTGGCTCAGTCGTTAGGTGTCTGCCTTCAGCTCAGGTCGTGATCCCAGGGTCCTGGGATGGAGCCTCACATCTGGCTCCCTGCTCGGCAGGAAGCCTGCTTCTCCCTCTCCCACTCCTCCTGCTTGTGTTCCCTCTCTCGCTGTGTCTCTTCTGTCAAATGAATAAATAAAATCTTTAAAAAAATAAATAAATAAACCGACTGAGACATTTACACAGCTAGAGAGTCCCAAACATGCTCGTTGTTGTCACCGGCCACATGCCAAATCTCAAAGCTGAGTTTTTTTTGTTTTTGTTTTTGTTTGTAGGCTATTGTGCCAGTTTGTTTCTTCCTGCTTTCTCCTCCCTGCTCCCGTCATACACCTGCCTTTCCCCCTCGCTTTCACTCCCTCTCTGGGCATGCAAAGAGCAAGCCACTATGTTAAGCTACATCCGGGACTACAAAGATAAAGGACATGAAACCGCCTTAGAGTTCATCAAGATTTAGGAGGAAAGAAAGACACAATGTTTAAAGAACATTGAACATAGAGTCCTCAGTTGCTTTCATGTTAAGGTCCTATGGCTAGTGAGCAGGAAAGGAGGTGCAGGGTCCATGGGCTAGAACTTTCAGCTTTGGGCTTTTGTCAACCTCAAGTCTAGGTTACTTGGGGTTTTTGGTTTGTTTGTTTTATTTTATTCTTGAGAAAAGCTGCAACTTCTCTGCAAAAGTATTCTACTTTTCTCTAAATGGAAAAAATAGGCTGCATGTCAATTCTAACACACTCCAGGAGGGTTCTCGTACACACAGTTGTAGCTATATCACCTCATTGACTATTGAACCTGTTAAGATATTGTGAGATTGGGTATTCCTGTGGAGTGAGGAATAGGTTCTTTCTGGCTCCAGGTGTTGGGGAACAGGCTGGGAGAGGAGAAAACAATTTCCCAGAAAACAGGTAGATTGTTCTAGAGGGAAATAAACAGGATTCATCAACTTACCTACTAGGTGCCAGACACCCTGTTGGGTGGGGAGAGAGAGAGATGGGCAAAACAGGGAAGATCCTGCTCTCCAGAGGAAGTTCTAGGCATTATGCATAAAAGAAAATACGATAATAACTTGGGGGTATGCAGAGTCAATAAAGAATGAATCAGCTCCACGAGCTTATCAGTCTTCATCAAAGCCTTGTAACTCTTCGATAGCCTGAAACATGCTGGTGGGTTACTGAGCAAGCCTCAGTTTATGTCACAGAGGGATTATCTAGATCATGGCAAAAGCTGCTAGGAAAGTCCCGAGGAAAATAAAAGCTAGTGAAAGGAAGAGATTAAGAAATAATTACTTCAAACGGGCTTCAAACAACCCCAAAGGAATACCTAATTTACTTAAAAACACATATTAGGCTCCTACTCTGTACACATGGGTACACTCAGGAAGCTCAGAAAGAGGCAAATACAAAATGAATGAGTCCACTAAAGATGGTTAATGCCATTGCGGAGGTACCTACTGAGCAGTAAGAGTGGCCGGAGGAGACACTCTAAGCCCCAGTTTGGGGATTAGATGAAGGCATCCCATATGTGATATCTGAACTGTTTCTTGGAAGACGAGTAAAGTTAACCATTTCTTTACACGTGGAGAAGAGAATGATGAGGCACCAGACGTGTCAGGGGGACACTGTGTCCTGTTTAGTCTCTGAACCGTGAGGCAGGAGCGGTGGGACACAAAACTGAGTTGTGGATTAAGTTGCTAAGGGGCCTGGGCTTTGTTTTACAGGAAATGAGAGTCACTGAAATGTTTTAATCAGGGGAAGCCAGACTGACATTTTGATGTATCAGTCTGGCTATAAACTAAGAAGCTAGAAGGCCCTAGACCTATCAAAGGAGGTGGGGCCTTGGGGGAAGTGGAGCCCTCGTGAATGGGATTAGTGCCCTTATAAAAGGGACCCCAAAGAGCCCCCTCATTGCTTCTGCCACATGAAGACACAGTGAGCGGACACAGTGAGAGACGGCGCTCCGTGAACCCGGAAGTGGAACCTTACCAGCTCCCCTATCTGCCGGTGCCTTGATCGTGGGCTTCCCAGACCCCAGAACTGTAAGGAATAAATTCCTGTTATTAAACCATCTGGTCTCTGGTATTCAGTGAGAGCAGCCTGAGTAGAGTAAGACAGCTGCCTGCCCCCCACACTTCCACCAGTGTTATAACCGAGAAAAGGGACTTTCCACAGATTTGTTGTTTTGTTGTTTTCATTCCATCTGGTGAGGTTGGCCTGACAAGAAGATCTTGAGCGTGGACTTTGACGTGTGTGATCATCTGCTGCCTGACCTTCTGCCCTCTCCCTAGCCTATTCTAGGCATTGGGAGCCTAAAATTTTATCCAAACATCCTGATTCTTGATTTATCCCCAAGTTGTACATCACAGAATACCATTGAGGTTTTTTGCTCAAGTATTTAGAAAGTCTGGGGACTCAAACATTTGAAGTTATTGACTTTTATCTCCTTCTGCCACCTTGGTGGACTTGTCCCTGTCTTAGGAGGGGTGGCCCTGGGGTGACGGTGCATAGATCCAGCCATGGGATGGTGGTGAACTCAGCGAGAGCCTGCCCACAAATTGGACACCCCCTTCCTCTTGCCATCTACTGATAAAGCCCCTGGGAAGTCAGATGCAACTCATGCCACCCCTCAACCCTGGATTTCACATTGAACAGTGTGAAAAGCCAGGGTCCGGACCCCCCAACTGTCAGGACTGACAAGTTAGAATCACTCTAGGGGTCAGAACACCTGCTTAACCCTGAACATACAACCTAAGTTCCTGGAAATGAAGTCCTGAGAGGGAGCCTTCAGGAGAGATCGTGTGAAAAGTCGGAAATATCGAGAGATATCAGAAGTGTCTATAAGACTCAGGGAGAAAGATGCTAATGAGTCAGGGACATCCAAGAAAAACACTTAAGTTCTGAAGTTAGAGCGGAGGTTAAGTCATATAAGGGAGGGTGGCTATTTCTCGAATCCTCAGGTTTTCAAACACAGAGGAGGGGCCTGTACTGGTATAAACTCTATCTCCCAGGTATTACATCTTCTCCACAGGAGGAGAAACTCGAAGTTGATCTTGTGGTCCCTGATTCCAGTTCCTGTTCCCCCAAAAAGAGCACTGCCAACCTATAAAACTTTCAAAACACCCACTATCATCTCCACCTTAAGTGATGGAAGAACAGAGACAATTATTGTGAAATAACTGTTTAAAACAAATTATTGTTTAAAAGGTACATAGAAGCAGTTCCAAATGTTTTCATCTCAATGTACTCCTGAAAAGTGTTGGAAAATTTCTACATACGAGAAAAATACTGTTTTTTAAAAAGCTATAGGTATTTTTCTTGCCAGAAGGTGGCGATAGAGTCTAGCTATTTACTTAAGAGAAGCCCAAGCAAGTTTAAATAAAAGTTTGGTAGGCGAGAATTCTACCACTGAGTTTGAAGCCTAGGCTTCAAATAAGGAGTGCTTTCTATCTCCCAAAGATAAGCAAAATAAATCAGTCATTAAAAGGCAAAAAACAGGATTGAACAACAACAGCAGTGAAGTACTTCTAGTCAGCCCTTGCTAATCAGAGTGTGGTCTTTGAGTTGCAATAACAGTCACCTGGGAGCTTGTTAGAAAAGCAGAATCTCACTGAACATAATTTAAAAAACAAAAAACACTTGCTGAATCTATAGAGTACCAATGGCAGGATCTAATTCATGATTGCAAGAAGCATCCAACCTGGGAAGGCACCTTTATTGAATGACACCATCCAACAGCACATTTAATAAGCTCAAAGACAAACAACTGATTTAATGAATGAGCTTGACTCTTCACCCTTGAGTTTAGGAAAACATGGATGTTAAAAAAAGAAAAGAAAAGAAAAGCAGAATCTCACGGAACATAATTTAAAAAACAAAAAACACTTGCCGAATCTATAGGGTACCAATGGCAGGATCTAATTCATGATTGCAAGAGGCATCCAACCTGGGAAAGCACCTTTATTGAATGACACCATCCAACAGCACATTTAATAAGCTCAAAGACAAACAGCTGATTTAATGAATGAGCTTAACTTGACTCTTCACCCTTGAGTTGTATGAAAACATGGACGTTAAAAAAAAAAAAAAGAAAAGCAGAATCTCAGGGCCACCTTCCTGGGGTTCATTTGCCCTGTTTTCACTGCCATCCTTAGTCCTCCTTTGACCCTTTAGTCTCAGTGAAGGTCGGGCAGGGGAGGGGGCAAAATTATGGAGGAAACAAGATTCAAGGGAGCCAAGGAGTGAGAAACTTCCACAGTTCACCCTCCGACTCTCCATCACACAGAATCTCCCCTCTTCTGCAGTGTTAAGGGCATAGACAGCTGCAGCACAGGAAAAGGGGGGCCCTCACAGAGGAATTAGGTCATCTATGACCACGATCCTTCCCTACTCCATACAACTGGGAATCAAGCTGTGCCTTCCTAAGGAGACCGGTTTGAATGATTGCAATTATACATAGGTATTTGGATATCTTTAAAGTTTCTCAACATTTCATACTGTGCCTAGAAGCAATGCTCTTTATTAGGCTTAGTAAAGAATTCTATTTTATAAAGAAAGTATATAGAAATGTAAAATTACACAATATTCATTTTGATTTGGTTAGTCATACTTCTGAGAATCCTAGATATTCTAGAAGTAATCTCATAAGCCAAAATGCATAAAATGAGAGCAAATCATTAAAGCCTTTTGTGTCTAATAACTGGGCATTTTTAATTTGAATATCTCACAGTCACTTCCAGTACCTCAAACACATCTCAACTTCTTTTCCAAAATAATTCTTCCCTTTCCTGAATTCTTATCAGTAATGAAGCCACTGTCCAGATAATCTGCTGTAAAACCCTGATTGCTTATTATACAATTCTTTGTTCACTTCTATAGCCCACGTACTAGAAATCACAGGTTGAAAGGTGCAGCCCCAGGTATTATGGAGCCTGTTTCTTAGCAGAACCCCCATAGAACACTTACATTGCAACTCACAAAATACAGGTTTTGTGTAAATAGCTCCCAGGTGCTATGGGAGCACAGCGGACAGTGTGATTCATTTTGAGAAATGGTTCCAAGCCTTAAAGGATGAACAGGAGTTTGCCACCGAGAGAGAAGGAAAGGGGCACTGCTCTCCCAGCTTTCTCTCTCTGCATAAATAAGTAGTGTCCATCTTCAATTCAGCCATTTCCATGACACCACCTTCTTACCACTACCACTGCTCTGAAATTCCAGAGCAGTCTCGATTTGATCCACTCAATTTAGAACTCACATATAATTAATGTTGCTTGATTTATTTTTCCCATTTGCCCCTTTGGTGTCATTAACAGGATGTCCTCAGAAAATTTACTTAAGCTTTCTTGTTTTCTATTTAGAGCAATAGGAAACAACATCAGATCATCTCTGAAGTCCCTGGCATTACTAATTTACACAGAGATCCCAACAAAAATGGGTTCCATCTTTACTGGCCTGTCTGCTCCTGAAATCTACAAGTTTCTAAAGGCTCTAGGAAAAAGGCTTATGATTTAATGAGTGCATCTTCTAGAATGACCCTCATGATAAAATATACTGGGAATTAGCATGTGATACTCAAGTGGTCAAAATCAATGGAGTCCACTGCATCAGCTTTGCTCCGTTCTGTGGTCCCCAAATACACCTCCAACCCTCACTAGGCTCTAGGGAGACCAGACCTAGGGAGTGACTATGGTTCAGGGCACACTGAACCTCACTCCCAAAAAGCCCCTCTAGTGACAGTCTCAGGATCACCATCATTACAATATCGCCAACATCACTCACCAACTTAAAAAAGCAGGATGCTGAAAATAGATTTTCCGCTCATGGCACATTTCTTTTCCCTGTTCTCTTCAACGTTAAAGATTTTTAACACAGCAAACTATCAAGAATTTTAAAGAAAGAAATGGAGAGAAAATATTTTCTATAAATCACAAGCTCTCCTAAGAGAAGCTTTATTGTAATTAATCCATTCTGGAAAAATGCCCCTTATGCTTGGTAGTAAGAACATCAGTCCTAATTATACGACTCCCCTCCTTATGTGGAGTTAACTAGACAGCTTCAAATCTGTCATTGTTAAGTGTGAAACTTCAAAGAATCTCACCTCAAAATGTAAAATGTGCACTTAGTGGACAGAGAAAATATTTTATCATTTATTCTCACATGAAGATAGAGAAAAATCAAAGCCAAAGAAGAGTATGGATAAGAAGCCTCAGGGTAGGAACAGAAGGTTATGAGGAGACAAAGACCTAGATTCCAGAACAAATTCTGTCCTTTAAAGAGCTCTGTCACTTCAGGTATGTCATTATCCTTGAGTGTTGTTAGGCTGTTACTTTCTCCTCAAATGAGGTCGTGATTAATTATGCTACAAGATTTGGGCTCAGACCAAATGAAACATTTAGAAGGTGATATTTTTGATAGCGTTGGTGGCATCTGTTGTTAATGATCATTGGGAATGATGAGTCATTGTTCTCGCTTTGCTCTGAGGATAGGGATGAAAGCAGTCAGGTCTAACTTACAAGGGGAAGCCATAAAGAGAAGTCCATAAAGAGCTTCCTAACAGTTAAGAGTTAAGAAACTCTGAAACATATTAACTAAGAGATTTTGGGATGACCTTTTTTGAAAATCTGGAAGGAAAAGGTCAGCATTTTTGGAGTGCCCCTGGTATAGTCTTGCTTGGAAGCTGAGGGTTAAATCATAAGACCTCTAGGTTTTGCCTAACCTTGCAGTATATAAGGCTATGCCCTACATCAATAACCCGGTCCCTGAGAAACTGGTTGTCTTTCGATGCTTGGGGTTCTAGGTGGTGCCATTTTAATCGGTGTTGGGGACTGTTTGCAAGAAAGCACTGAGGCTTCCAACTTAAACTCATGAAAAATGACTTACCTGGTTGCCTCCACTCTTGGGGTTCACAAACACAAGCAAGGGTTTCATGAGAGGAGAAGAGATAGGTTTTATCACAAAAGGACGACCTTTGTTTTCCTGCTAAAAGAAGAAAGCAACACCATTGAGACATCCATCCATGACTTGGACAGGTAGCCCAAAAGCGATGGAAGGGAGAAACTATCAACACCCCACCACCGGTAACCCTTGATCCCCCCAAATAAAAAAGCTACATCTTGTTTCACAGGGCTTACTCTTTGAAAGATAGTCCAGATAATGTTTAGAAGAAAGGATCTCAAGCTATAATTTGCCTTGGAGGATAAGCCATGTTTTGTGTTTTTTTTAATTTTATTCTGTATGCTCTGAGCATTCTAGAAATGTGAGGTCTTCATCTTCATCATCTTTGGGATAATACTTCCATGGACGAGTGCAAATGCTCTCTGATCCTGAAGTAGCAGGAGGTTATACATATACACATTTTCCAGAGATAGAAAGGAATTCCAGTGCGTGGTTTGAGTGTAGTGAAGGAGGGAAAGGGGGTTGAAAATTTATCAGGAAAAGAAGCTTGGGCCAGATCAAATCACCCCGAGGTGACTACGGTCAGGAGGATGTAGCTGCTTACTGGGACAGAGTCCTGAAACACTTACTTCAGTCCCTCTTTTACTGGCTTTTCTTTTAAAGCTTGTCCTCTTCTTCTTCCGGTTTGAAGCCTTCAGCGAGTTCTGTAGGGAAAGAAGGAAACAGTGAGCTCAGAGGCAGACAGCCCCCGAACTTCCCATGCAGACCCATGTAGGAAATGAGGGCAGCGCATGCTGTTCCCCCGCATGCTTCTCATGCTTTGACACTTCCAAGCCACTGTTCATGGGTAAGCCACAGACAGAAACCAGTCGAGTGCTTCAGAGTGAGCGACCGACTCCCCACCACACGGAGAGGCAGGGAGTTAGAACCCTGGAGGCTCTCATGGACTCACATAACAACACAAGTTATACCTGCCAACCCTCCCAGTAAAAATGGAAGAATCCCAAATTCTCTGAGGGGCTCCAGTCTCCCGCCCAACCAGGTCCGTCTCCCGCCCAACCAAGTTCAAGTTCATCTCCTGCAATGGAGATCACCTATGTGGAAATGTAAAAAAGGAGGCCATTTTTCATGTTTTTCTTTTCTTTCTTTTTTTTTTTTCTGTTTACTTTTTTTGGTAATGACCTTTCTACTAATAGTCATAAAGTGGCTTGACCCCTGTGGAACATTATGATCCAACTATCCTATCAGCCCTGGTGGCTAGGTTTTAAAATGCAGAGATAAGACTCACTTTGTTACTTATATTAGTAGAGGTCTTTCTCTAAAGACCTATTGGTTTAAAAAGCCTTCCCTCCCCCGGTAGCCTTGATTTGTTCTTCTCATAGATGTGCCTCCAACTGTGGAACACAGTGACCCGAAATTTACTTTCCCTGTTTTTCTCTTTCTAGGAATTTTATGGACCACAACTTTGTGATTACTTCAACTAACCATTTACTCTTAATATATGATACAGATGCTTTGAGAAGAACCTCTCTTAGGGGACAGTCACAACTCACTGGTTTAATTAGTTGAGAGTCAATAATTAATTAGATTGCCATCTTCACAAAGGCAAGATGTTACTATCACATCATAGATGTTTAACAAAGTGTTGAAAGCCTGAAACACAGAACGCTTAACTTAAAAGTTTATATAAGCATATACACATGCATTGCTTGAGCAGATAAAGATTTCCAAACAGTTTCAAGAAACTTACATATCTATTCTTTTAGGTTGCTGCGTGTTTTTTCTTACCTCATTCAAAATAAATCTTAGTCTCGAGTACATATATTAACACATTCAAATTAGCAAGATTGAAACTTTTTAACTTTTGATTTTACTTTCATTTGGACCATAAAAACGTATGTTGCTCTGTAGCCGGTGCTCATCAAGGATGAAGGAAACTTTCTTGAACCACCATTTGTCCGAAAGCCTTCTTCCCCCATCAGATTAAAGGAGTTTTCAGGTTCTGAGTCTCACCAGAAGAGAGAAATCCAGAAGCTCAGAAGCTCATGGCTGCTCTAGACCCCAGGTTATTTCTTACCACTCACTGTGGACTATACTTCTCCTACAAAAAGATTTCCAAGTTTCTGAATTCCTCTTTAAATTGGTTTATTACCATGTTCCACTTCGGGGGAAAACTTTTGCATTATTAAAGTATTTCCTACGTGTGAACTACTTTGTTTAAAAGGGAAGAAAAACTACCTGGAAACTGCAAACACTTAATCAGCCAAATGTCCCAAGAATAATGTTAGAAACTCTTAGGATGGCAATTAATGATACTGAGTGGTTCTCAACCCATCACTACACGTTGGCCTCACCCAGAGCTCTTTTAAAAATGCGAATAGGTGGACCCCCGAAAATTCTTTGTTTGGAGTGAGGCCCAGGCAATGGTACTTTTTAAAAGCTCCCCAGGCAATTCTAGTGTGCAGCCAGAGTTGAGAGCCTCTGAACTCAGAGGGAAATGTGAGGGAACGTACATACTGCACGAAAGCATCATTTCAATGGGATAAGGAGCATGAGCTATGGAGTCGGACACACTGGGTGGTAATTCTGGGTCTTCCCGTTACGAGATCTGTGACCTTGGCCAAGTCAGTCAAGCTTTTGAAATAACAGTTTCTTAATTTTAAGATGAAGGTGATAATACCTACCTCACAGGATAGTTGTGAAGTTAAAAGGAGGAAAGGTATGTGAAGCAGTTAGCTTGGTCTCGGCCCATGATAAGCGCTTCCATAAACGTTAGTTGCTTCGTTCACAGCTGTATATCCCCAGCACCGAGCACCAATGCCTGGCCCATAGTATGCGCTCAAATCATTGTTGAAATGAATCACAACACTTACTAAGTCCTTCCTGATTCTGGAAAGGATCTTTTGGAAGTGAATGCTTGTCTCCTAACTTTTTTGTTGTTTTAGTTCATTTATTGCCAAGAGCCATGCAGGGAGCCAAGTGCTTTCAGGAACACACGATAGGCCTCGGTTCCTGGCAGGACTCGATAACTAAGCTCTAAGAGATAGTCTAATGGATCGGGCTAAGATCGTTCCCTAAACTTGCCTGATCACAGAAATCCCAGTTCTTTCAGGCAATTCTGCTGATCAAGCATGTTTGGGAAACAGAGTTAGAAAAGCACATCCAAAGAAGGCTTGATGTCTGAAAACAGAGCAGGCAAGAAACTCAACTCTAATAGGGAACAGACATACAAAATGGCCTTTTCACACAGATGTAGCAAATACAAAGGCTTCTGAGCCTCATGGAGCTCAATGCCCTTGAGGTCTTCCTCATCTTACAGAACAAGAAGAGGGCTCAGATGAAGCACGGTGGTTGACTTACAGTCCCTGGATGCTTCTATGTGAGCTCGGAGTAAGCTTACAGCCCTATAGTCAAATAGCAAAAGATAAGCAGTATGGGATTTCACAGCACACCTCAAAATTATCGAGGCTTCCTTCTGTTCATGTGTAAATATGTATATTGGTCTCAACACAGAACTCCTTTTAGAAGGTATCATTATCCAGTGAGGAACAGATGGATGTGGAAGCAGATTTGGGTTGTGTTTCAGCCATGACAAGACGAGTCAGCTAGTCTTGCTAATCTAAGATATTGCTCAGCCTAGCTGGGTCAGTCTTGTTGTGAGAATTAAAAGAGCATGCTTTTCAAGAACATGAAAATTATTCCAAGAAGTTATTTTGTAGACTTGCTGTGGTATTATTCAAGAAACCGTTAATAATACTTGTGCTGTGTTCTACAACAGAGCATCCCTGTTATCAAGGGCAGCTAACTCAGTCATACAAAGGGTTTGCTTAGCAAGTTGAACACCATCCCAACAGTGAAATGTTGTACCCTCATGTGGATCTTTGCATTTTTCAGACTCTAACAACATTTGCCCCCTGTTCATTTTGTGCCCACTGTTATGTTCAAGTCCTAAGAATAGATAAAGGCCTTCTGTTTTTTTGGACCAGGTATTGGGCAGTACTACTTTAATACAGAAATAATCCTACCAAGAAAGTCTCTATCATCGTCAGGACCCCTTCCTGGGCTGTTTAAAAAAAATGCCTATGGGTAAATCACTCAACTGGGAATAAAACTTAACTACTTCTTAATACTCTTTAGGGCTTTTCCCAGGTTATGGGATCACAAAGGACTGGTATAACAACAGCTCTAAAGAGAAGATATCTCACACTCCATCATCCCAAATGAAGCCTTCCCCCATCGTATACCGGAAAAAACTCTGATGGGTAGTAGGAGAGGCATGGACTTCGTCTACTAGTGAGTGTTCTCATGCTGCCCTGCTCTAGCTGCACCACTGGGACAAAAGTTCTGAGGATAGGCAAGCAGAGAAATAAAGAAAACTACTTCCAAAAGATAAGGACAGGGTCTCTGCCATTTCTCAGGCATATTTGGTTAAATCATAGCAAGTACTGCCTAACCTTTAGAATTGACCAAAGGAAATGGCTGGATCAATTTTGAGAGATATGGTTGAGCCTAGCTATTATATATCCTGGGTCTCCAGCATTTTCACATTATCCAATCATAAGGAATAAGGACTAACATGGAGAGAGCCCACACGGGCTAGGAAGGAGTTGATTGCAGCATTTTTTATAAGTAGACTATTAGAACCAATATAAACCTCCACCAGTAGGGAATTGGCTAAATAAACTGTAACAAACTTATAGTATGGAATACACACACACACACACACACACACACACACACACACACACACACACA